AAGAAGTGAGGTTCTTACCCACGCAAGCTTATGCTCCCAATACTTCTGCTAGTCTTAAAGGTGCCACAGGACCCTGTGTTGCTTTTTGAAAGGCAGTGTTGCAACAACAACAGCAACAAGACCCCGAGGGGAAGAATCCTTGTTGAAAATGCGGCATTTAAAACACCGCTCTCGTGTGCTTGCCCCATCGCCTCTCGTTCACATTGCCCCACCCGCTGCATGCCGCAGGGGAGGAAGGGGAGGCAAGGAGGAGGGAAATAAACCCCTCCTGCCGCGGCTCCGCCTGGCCGGCGCGGGGTCGCTCCCCGCCCAGCTGAGCCAGCCGGCTGCGCTGATTCGCTGCCGGGAGCTCTTGAACCCGGCCCAGCTGACGCGCCGCGGCGCAGCGCACGGAGCCGGAGGGGAGAGAGCGATGGATGTGCAACTCGCCCCCCGGAGAGCCTGGGACGACTTCTTCCCCGGCTTCGAGCGCTTCGCCTGGCCGGATTGCAAAGACGTGTCCAAATGGAACAACCGGGTGGTCAGCAACCTGCTCTATTACCAGACCAATTACCTGCTGCTGGCGGCCGTGGTCATCTCCGTCGTGGGGTGAGTCTGCCCTTCTCCTGCGCAGGAGGGGTGGGTAGCCAAAGGGGCGCCCCCTCCTTCCCCTCTCTGCGCTGCCAGGAGGGGAGCCCAGGGTTTGGGCACCTGCACCTGCAAGGGCTGGGGTTCAGCTCGGCAGGCCGCTTGCTGGGTCCTGGAGATGAGCGAGGCAACTTCTTCCTGGGCTGCGGCGTGGCGCAGACGCGGTTATAAAGTGGGATTTAGGATCAGGACGTTGATGGCCGTGTCACCGTGTCCCCCCACGCAGCGCTTCCAGCTCTGTTCTTGTACCGTGGAGGCCGCACAGTTACCCGGCCGCAGCACAAGTAGGCTAAAGGGACTGTGCAAGAACTTGGCTGTCTTAAGGGAGGCAGCAAACATAACTTGGTTTCTGAATTTAAACCAGAAGAGTTGGTTCTATTCCTCTTGGCCAAAAAAAAGGGTGTGACTCAGTGGAAGGTTTGCTGGTGTGGCTTCCTTTTGAAAGCACAGTTGTGTAGTAGGAGTCCTAAAACAGCTCCTCCCCTCAATCTCCCTCTTTCTCTGTTGGCTGTTGTTTGCAGGCATGTGTGTATATGTTTGTGTGTGTGCTTGTTTGTTTGGGAGACCTATAGTTTAAAGCTTAACATCCAATCGAAAAATTTAACGTCTTGCTCAGTCTTAAAAAACAACACTGACTTTATGAATTGGATGTGTTGCTCTCTTCATAACGCTGCTTTTCTTTTTAAAAATAAAACCACTTCCTCTGCAGTGATGTGCTTTCTGCTTAAAGGTTTACCAGCCATAGGGCAGAATCCGGCAAGTTAGAATTTAGAAAGTGAAAGGGGTGCATGGTTGGCTATTGATGGATTTTGTGTGTGTTTTTTCATAAAGTGCAGGGGACCAATTTTGTTCAGTCATGGTATTGCGTCTGTTGTGTCTGAGGTCAGGATAGGGCTCCAGGTCTGTTGAGGGGGAGCAGGATCAGTTCCTGAAGCAGTCAGTGCTGGAAGTCCAATGATAAGAGCAGGATTGTTTTGCACATGGGGTCTCATTTGGGTATTGGTGTACTCTCTGAGCACAACTGCACCATAGAGCCCTTCTGCTCCTGGAGAATGTATGGAGACTAAAAATTTAACCCCTTTCTAATGGGGATCTGGTGTGGCTCCCTCTAGAGCAGTGGTTCCCAAACTGGGGTTTGTGAAATGTTATAGAGGGTTCTCAGGAAAAAATTCCCTAATGGCGGACATAGCTGTCCTTAGGGACTCCAGGCACCACAGGGCCAGCAGCCCGGAGCCCCTGGACTTCCAAGAGCTAAGCAGATCAAAGCAAGCATATCTATCAGACTGAGGAGATTAAAACTTCAAGACTCCTTATAAGAAATGGAAAGGGAGGTGGATATTTTTTTGCTGTTTTTAAAATTAAATAGGCAGCTAGTATTGTTTTTAAAATTATGAAGAACAAGTTTAGGCTTTGTTATAATATGTGTTGTTTGCCTGGACTCCTCAAGACCTGAATGCTTGTGTAGGAGGAACTTTTTGAGTTGGCTTCTTAAATACCTTCATGCTGTTTCGCATCTGATACTCTTTGATGAAACATAGGAGCCTTGTCTTATAACAGGCTTATTCAAAGTGATACAAGCTACGAAAGTGAGATCTTGGCAGTGTTGCCGTTTTCATAATGTAATAAAAATACTGCAATGATTAATAATAATAATAAACAATGTGTAATGTCATAAAACAAATCTTTTATTTTCAAGATCACTGCTTTTATAATTTATACTCAAGTAAAGGAGAAAATCCCTGGAAATATTCATTTTTAGGAGGGGGTTCATGAGACTTGACATTTTAGTGAAAGGGGTTCACAGGTGGTTAAAGTTTGGGAACCACTGCTCTAGAGTATTGCTGTAAGATTTGAGTTAAGGTGTTTTAGAAGCAGATGCAGAAAGTAGTGATAATGGGGGTGGGGGCCTCTTAATCTACCAACCAAACCATTTGCAATTATGTCCAGGCAGGTAAAGTAGCAACACTTTTATCTGAATCCAGAGAACTTAAATAGTGAATTGTGTTTTCTCTGAATCAGGTCTGTCTTTAAGCCTGTGAGCCAGGGCACCATCTTGTTTATATAGCATGTTGTAAAGATGCCAGATAGTTCATTTTAAAACATTAAACCAGTATGAAAACTTGCTAAAGCAAAGAACCTACATCCAGTCAGACTTCTTGAGGCCATTAACACATGTGGCCTAATCTGAAGCCCCCTGAAAGTCGTCAACACGCTTTTCAATTGGCATCAATGAACTTTGAGAAATGAAGTAGTCTTCATAAGTGGGTGATACTTTTACTTTGCATACTAGCTATGGAACTGGCAGCATGGAATAAAATATCTTTTTCTTCTACCTGCTCTAAGCTTGAAGGCTGCTGGTAACTGGGAGTATAGGGGTGTTGTATGGCCAAGTGATTAGAACATGGAACTGGTAGGCAGGACTCCTGGGTTGTTTTCCCGGCTCTGTCACCTTGAGCAGGCTACTTGGTGCTGCTTTAGACACACAAGTTGCACTGGCTTACGTCACTTTAGTCTGCCCTTAACGGTCAGCATTCTTACATGTCTAAAATAGACAAGTAGTTTTAGTTTAGACTAGTGCAATGTCTCACTGTTGGGTAAATCAGTGCAACTTTGTGTCTTGGCCAGGTGTTAGTTCTTTACCTCAGGTTGCTAGCTAATGTTCAGTTCTGAAAGGCAGATAACCCATTAGTCATAATGTACTTTTCAGCCAAGTATCTCAAAAGCACTATAAACTGTTGTTGCCATCACAACTTGAACCTGTTTGGTCTCCTCAATCATTTCCCTACCAGATGTACAATACTCAAATCCTCAATCTAGAACAGTGACTCTCAAACTTTTGTACTGGTGACCCCTTTCACATAGCAAGTCTCTGAGTGTGTTTCTCCCCCTGCCCCACCCCCTTATAAATTAAAAACACTTTCTTATATTTAACACCATTATAAATGCTGGAGTCAAAGCGGGGTTTGGGGTGGAGATTGATGGCTTGTGACCCCCCTCCCATGTAATAACCTCATGACCCCCGGAGGGGTCCCGATCGCCAGTTTGAGAATCCCTGTTCTAGAATAAGGATTATCTACCTGTAACTGAGGACGGGAAAAATATTACCCACTTCTTCCAACTGTGTGTATGTGTTGAATCTGCCAATAAAAACCCCAGCAGGCATGGTGCACAGATCCATAACATTAACTGTTCTGATGTTTTAGTTTTCAAAAATAATTCCTGAAGTGAAAACACCAGGATAAGACACATCTGGAGTCTGAGATCTTCTTGCTCCTGAGTTATGTGCCATACTGTGTGAAGACTTTGCATCCTAGGAGTGCTGATCCTGCCACCATTGAATGGAATAGCAAAACTCATTTCTTTTAGCAAAGAACAAGTCCTAATGGGAAAACAGAAGTCCATACTTCTGGGTGTGCATTACATAAAGCAGCCCTTTTTAATGTGGCACATATTGTGGCTGACTTCACCAATTCAATTCAAATACTGAGTGCACTGAGTGGGAAAACTAAAGAAAGCTCTGCTGATAAATCATAGACTTAGTCATTTGTCTAAATTCTCCATGCTTAACTGTTCACTGGGCAGCAATCCAGTGCTGTATCATGGCTCTACATCTTCTAGAAAACCCTGTTGAAGATGAGGTTTAACTTGCACAAGAGCTTTTATAAGGCCGCAGTAACAGGATTCTGCAAAAAGGCCATTGCAGTGTGCCAAATTCTTACTCTCAACAGGGCTAAATTTGCCCCATGGTCAACTCTGTTTTAGAGTAGCCTAACTAATCTCATTCAAGCTGGGTGTGTCTGTAACCCTGGGCTGTATGATTTCTACACTCTATACTGGAATAATTTGGCAGTTGTGGTCGTGATGGTGTTGGGCAACATGATCAGCATTACGCAATTCCTAATATCTTACACATTGCTAGTAAAACCATAAAAACCCTCTTTCTCTTTTTATGGTTGTAAATTGAATCTGACAATAAGATGGAAACTCATTGGATTTCCAACCTGAAGTGAAAACAATGAGGAGTCCTTGTGGCACCTTCGAGACTAACAAATTTATTTGGGCATACAAGCCAAGCCCTAAGATACAACGGCATTTGCTCCAATCCCTCAGACAGAGACAAGCACCTACAGGATCTCTATCAAGCATTCTTAAAACTACAATACCCATCTGGGCAAGTGAAGAAACCGATTGACAGAGCCAGAAGCCACCTACTACAGGACAGGCCCAACAAGAAAGTAACAGAATGCCATTAGCCCTCACCTACAGCCCCCTACTAAAACTTCTCCAGTGCATCATCAGGGATCTACAACCTATCCTAGAGGACGATCCCTCAGTGTCAGACCTTGGGAGACAGGCCAGTCCTTGCTTACAGACACCCCCACTACCTGAAGCAAATACTCCCCAGCAACTACACACCACACAACAGAAACACTAACCAAGGAACCAATCCCTGAAACAAACCCCGTTGCCAACTCTGCCCACATATCTATTCAAGGGACACCATCATAGGAACTAACCACATCAGCCACACCATAAGGGGCTCCAACTTGTCAACTGTTGGGAATGGGCCACATTCACCCTGATTGAATTGGCCTCGTTACCACTTGGTAAGGCAACTCCCATCTTTTCATGTGCTGTATATTTATACCTTCCTACTTTATTTTTCACTCCATGCATCTGGTGAAGTGGGTTATAGCCCACGAAAGCTTATGCCCAAATAAATTTGTTGGTCTCTAGGGTGCCACAAGGACTCCTTGTTGTTTTTGCTGATACCGACTAACACGGCTACCACTCTGAAACCTCAAGTGAGTACAGGTTACCTCTACCTGGGATAAGGAGCTGCATCTGTTGTATCCCTTATGCTGAGCACGCTGTGTAAAATTGCAATATTACCTCTGTATAGCTTCCCCCTAGTTTAATAGAGAACCTTCATATGGTACTATACCATCTGAACACTAATC